AAACGACAAACAAAAACAAGAAACAAAAAGTGAAATAGAAAAAAGAAAAATGAAAAACGAAAAACAAATTACGAAAAACGGTTAAAATGTACCAAAAACAAAACACGTAAGGGCAGATTGCTAGGGAAGGTAGCAATGTACTACGAATGACGAACAACAAAAAACAAAAATCATTCAGGAACAGCGATCAGAGTACAATGTAACCCTAACGAGAAACGAACGACAAAAAATAAAAAATTGATCGGTGGCCAACGAAAACGGAAGGTCGAATGACGAACAACCCACGAATAACAAAAACGAGTAACGAAAATTGTAAAACGATGTAGCGAACGGCAAACGACGCACAACAAAAAAGCAAAAACCTTAGAGCAGAAAATAAAATCGGCTAACGGAAGAAAGCCAAAAAACAAAAAACGGAACGAAGAATAATGTAAAACGCAATAACAGAAAATAAAAATAAAAAAAACCAAATATGAAAGAAGGAAACTGAAAAACGAACTCACGTCGTACAGCGATGAACCAAAAGACAAAAAATGAAAAACGGAACCATGAACGACGAACAACGAAAAAGATAAACGCAACGACGAACAACCAAATTAAAAAAAAACGGAACAGCGAATGATAAATGAACAACGAAAACAAAAAGCAAAAACACGAAACAAATTACAAGCGACGGAAGACGAACCATTAACATACGAAAGAAACAAAACAAATAACAAAATACTGCACGATCAGCTAACAGCGAAAGACGGAAACACGAAAGACGGACATCGAAAACGGAAAAACTACAACGAACGACAAACAAGAAAAATCGTAAAATAAACATAGAATTACAAGCGAAAAGCGACAAACAAGCGACCAACGAACGACGTGCAATAAAATACGAAAAATTAAACAAAGAACGACGAAAGACGAAGGACGAAAAATACAAATGAACTAAGAACGGAATCGCGAACAAAGAGTGATAGAAGACAAACAACGAAAAACGAAAAATGGAACTGCGAACAACAATGTACAACACGCAACGAAAAACTAACAAATGAGAAACGAAAACCAATCAGCGAACAACGAATGGCGAAAGACGACAAAGGCAAAATGAAAAATATATTACGAAAAAAGAAAAACGGAATGGCAAACAACGAAAAACAAAAAAAGAAACGAAGAACGAACAATGAAAAAAGGAAAAGGGAACAAAGAACAACGTAACGACAAACTACGCAAAACGAAAATTGGGGCAACGGGCAATGAACCACAAAAAACGGGAAAAGGAAACCGAACATCAAACATTTCACGACAATCAACGGAAACGAAAAAGCGGACAATATACAACAAACAGTGAAAACAAACAACGAAGGACGATGAACGTACAGAGAAGAAATTAGACAGAATAAGAGAACGGAAAACAAGCAGGAGCGAATAACGAACGAGGAAAAGTGAGTAGGAACGAAGAACGAACAACCGAGAACAAACAAAAAGGAAGAACCTGAAATAAAGAACAAACAGAGAACAACGATGTACGAATCATGAACAAACAATAAATAACAATAAACGGAAAACGAACAATAGCGCAGAACGAACAGCAAAGATCGATCAACAAAGAGCGCGAAAGGAGAACGAAAAAAGAACAGCGATCTTTAAAGAATGAACAACGAACGAAGCGACAAACAATGGATCAAGAGCACTGAGAGAAAAAAAAACAAGCGACGAACAACGAATCATGAAGAACGAAAAACAAACAAAATGGAAAAACGAAGCTGGAACAACGAAATTGAGGAAGGAACAACGGAGAGCGATGAACGGGAAAATAACAACAAACAACTCAGAACTAACAACGATAACGATTGCTATCAAACAACGAAGGCAAAGAACGATCGACGAACAAAGAACGAACAACAAATAGCGAAAATCGAAGAACGCATAGCGAAAAATGAAGAACGAATAGAAATGATTGTAGAATTAACTACGACATAGGAATAACATAAAGCAAATAACGAAGAACGAACAACAAAAACAAGCAACATAACACAAACAATAACTAAGAATAATGAATGAAATATATGGTACAAGGAACGAGCAACTGAGGCGCGAATTTCGAACAACAGAAAGCTAACGAGAAATACGAACTTCAGAAAACGATCAACGAAGAACAAACAACGGAAAAAGTTCAACAAACCAACAATAAAATGCGAAGAACAATCAACGAAGACCGAAAAACAATTGAAATAACAAAATCGAAATTGCGAAGGCGAAAGGCGACGATGCACCCGCAACGAAGGCGTAGATGGCTCTCAGGTATCGTGTGGGTCAGGAAATAATCAACCACTACAATATTAGTTTTAATATACATTAAAAACATTCCCAAATTAACTTTTGGGAAATAATTTGCCAATTATGAGTGGGTCAATAACATGGAAAAGGAAAAATAATAAATAACGTTAATTAAGTGTGAAAGCACAAAAGAAGTACAATCAATGAACAGAAAAGAAAATATCGCATCTCTCTCTCTTTCTCTCCTCTCCTCTTTCTCCTATCTCTCTTTCTCTCTCTCCCTCTCTCTCTTCTCTCTCTCTCTCTCTCTCTCTCTCTCTCTCTCTCTCTCTCTCTCTCTCTCTCGCAAGCAGGACAAAAAGTTCGATAAGTTGATATACAGACTTCAAGTCTCCCTTGCCCTCTGCCGTAAGATTTGGAAACACCGCTCTCTAGGTAGAAATAGGATTAATCTGACACTCCGTGCAAATCTTTAAATACGTTTTCAATTGGAAACTGAAATTAGTAACAGTATTCAGTTGAAAATGAAATACTTTCAATATCTTTATTTTATCTTTAACACTAAAAATACAAGAAGTCATCACAAAAAGTATAGTGTTGTAAAAAATATAGTAAATAAAATGAGTACGTTTGGATCCGTGGGCAGATGTTTGCTTGTGTGCCGTGACAGGATGGAGCTCACACAACTACTTGATTTATTTAATGTCACAAAACTACTTGATTCATTTAACGTTCAAATCTGTGTGATGTACTATCGGAAGAAGTGAATTTTGTGTAATTTTTTCTTAAATTCTGGGATATCTATGCTACCTCATACACACGAACACGTATACCGTTCATATGAAAATATTAAAATAAATTCCACGTCCAAACACTTTATAATAATAATAATAATAATAATAATAATAATAATAATAATAATAATAATAATAATAATTTTATTGTAATATACTCAATAACAAAGATATGTTTCTCCATGTTCCGGTGTGTTTCTAAATTCTATGACCGCCCTAGCAAGTCAAAACCAAAATAAGTGCAGTTTCGGTAAATTCCATAGAAATATTTGTCATAAATGATGTAGCTGTAGAAGTTGTAATCTCCAGGCAGTGCCCGCGAACTCTAGTGAGCTACCTTGACGGTAAATCTGTACAGCTATGTTTAAACCTCGCGCCAGTTGCTCTGGAGGCAGTGGCTACGAACTCTAGTGAGCTACCTTGACGATAAATCTGTATAGCTCTTATGTTTAAACCTTCCACCAGTTGCACTTGAGGTATTGCCCGCAGACTCCAATGACCTATCTTTCCTGCAACCTTGACACGCCTGCTGTAGAGACTGACAACTTTCGGCCCATCACCTCTTCCGGCAGCCGAGAAGGGGAAGGTCCTGACCTGAGATCATGTCTCTCTCTATTCACGTTCTTGGAGACCTTGCAGTTGACGTTTGATTACATTGTTTTAATGAACTCATTGAATCTTTATCGCAAACTTGCAATATTTAAATGAAACACATTTTTTGTTACCAGGAGGCTCTTTCTAAACTTTTCACCTAAATGCTGTCATCTCCAAGTTTTTGTCATTGCTGTACTCCAATGCTGAGAGTCACATCGCAAACATGAGCCAACAATGTTTATCAGTACGAGCTTGTTTTATGCGCCTTCTTTATTTTTTATGGTGTTTTATTGAGTAATTTAATATTTTATTGTTGTTGATTGTTTTTTAAATACTTATTCGTAGTTTTTCTTCGAAGAAAACTCGTCGGTCCTTATCTGTAATTCAGTGAGAGGATTGCTGTCACTTTTCATATCATTTAAATATTTTATTTTTTCATTTATTTGATTAACAATTACCATCTCATATCCATATCTTGATTCTTATACTCAAATTAATAACGTGGGTTTATTATTTGTAAATAATTGTGCATGTGTTTTGTTAGCTGATAAGTTGAAAATATGATTTGATTTAATTTGAAGTAAATAAGATGAAATTTTGTGGATATTCTTTCATATCAGGAATTGTTGAACAGCAAATTTCTACCTTACATTCCTGTCATATATGTTGATAAAAGGAAATATGTTTTAAAATAATGTAATGTTTAATTGTAAATTAATTCATTTTATGATTTTTGTTAATTCGATGCTTAGAAATTACATAGAATTGTTCAAAATAAATTATGGCCAAAATTGTAAATAAATAAACTGAATTGAATATTACCATGTCCACAAACTAATTTTTTTGCTATTTGCAAAACATTTTAGTAAAATTTATTGTAATTTGATTTTAAAATGCATAACAGTTACTTACCTTATTGCTAGTGAAATGAACACGTTTTCCCTCTTTTATTCTCATATGGAACAAATTATTATAATTATGAGGTATGAGAAATAAAAATAAAAGAACAAAGGAAACAATGAACACATTAGAGGAAACATATTAAATACAATTACACAGGAAGATAGTACAAGATAATGAATAGTAAGCAATGCAAATCAATAAAAGACAAAATAATTGAATAATTTAACTAATGGAAAACAATAAGTAAATAGAAATGCAACAATAGAATTGAACAAACAAGGTAAGAAAGGATTTAAATTATGCTTATCAATAAAACAAAGGATTGTGGAATGACAAGCAAAGAATATATTTCCAAAAACAAGTAAAGGTTGTTTGAAGTGATTAAACTTATAAGAAAAAATCACTTGTCAATAGATATTAAATCAAAGTAGTATTTACCACATTTTTTATACATGTAAGTAATACAAGTAGAAACAAACAGTATGAAAGAAACCTCATAAATATTTTCTGTTAAATTTATAAACAGTATATCTTCTCATCTTTGTATACAGTTTATTTAAAGCTTGAAGTTTCTTAAGTATACTTAGTTTTAAACTATTTATCACCATATAAATAAGTCAAATCTTAGTAACACTAAAACAACAAAATATACATGATTTTCAATTAATATAATTGTTACAAGTATGTACACACTTTAGTAAGTACCATTCAGATCTTGTCATATTTCTGTTATTTTTATTTAAATTATTATTCTTTGCAATAAGTACACTGATTTAATTGTTAGCAAAATTTATCTTTGATAACATTCAATTCATACATGATAAATCATCTTTCAATTCCACATAACAATTTATTTTCAATATGCATACAACTTTATATTTAGCATGAAGTACATAACATTCCATGAAATTCCACTTATTTTACAACATACTTTGTTACCCCTTCATCTGCATTCATTATTTGTAAGTTCTCAAAATCAATTATTTATTCCATTTGGATCAAATTACAGACATTTTAATTTATTGTCATGGTTAATTATTTATGCAGATTAAATGTCATCTACAAACTACATTTCCTCATACATCATTAGAAGTATTTCATATTATATTACAAAGACACCAATTGATGCAAAATATATTCTTCCACATTCACTTTTCATATAATTTTATTTTGCATTCACTCTGAACAAAACCTTAACAATTTATATTTTTCCAAAGAATTTTTCTTCTGTCCCTTTTCTTCTTTCTTTATTTTGTATCTCCAATTACCATGTAAAACTCCATTTTGAACTGTCTCCACCTGCAAAACTGCAAAAAGAGCAATTAATATATTTTATATTTTGTAAAATCATAGCTCACTGTATTCAGTGAAACAAAACTATCATACTGCTAAATATACTAGCAATTCATTACAATAATTTTCTTTGTGTTTGTGTTAATATTTCCTTTTCTGTTTCTGAGTTACGACAATAACGTTTGTATTTTGAACAATTTCTGCACTTGCTGTCCTGTTTAAGAACTACTGCTCCATATTATGTATCAACCGCCTTTAAATACATAAAGTGTTCCTTTAATTCGATGGGGGCGAAATATTTTGGGGTCCGTGGGACATTGGCGTGCTCCGGGGCGCCGGGGCCTGGAGTAAGAGTGTGTGCGCATGCGCTGGGGTTGGGAGGGGGAAACAATTTGAATCTCCTTCGCGGTGGCGCGGAGCTCCAGCAAAAAATGTCAAATATTTAGGAGTTACTTTAGACAGCTCTTTGACATTCAATCTGCTCAAAGAAAATGTGCGACAGAAAGCGCGGCAGACCCGAGGCAGATTGCGAAGCTTGTTTCGCAAGCGGAGCGAACTGTCAACGGCAAACTGCCTCACGCTTTATAAAGCAATAATTAAGCCGCAAATGGACTACGCATGCCCAAGTTGGGCAATCGCAGCAAATTAAACAAACTGCAAGTAGTTCAAAACGAGTGTCTCAGGGCCGCCCTCTGCGCCCCTAGATATAGTCGTATAGAAACTTTACATCGCGAATCATCAATGCCACTGCTAAAAAATCTCAAAAAAAATTTAACTATAGTTTTTATATGAAAGCAGCTGACTCGGAAAATGACCTCATAACCGCGATCGCCTCATACCAACCCGATCAAAGGGCGAAGTATAGGCGACCGAAGCACTTTCTGGAGTAAGAGCAATCTAAAACAGAGAAGTGGAACTGGGGCATAAATATAGTATTACAAAACACAGCAATGCGCGCGCCGGTAAGCTAAAGTCATTTTTTGACCTTTTGTTTTTCTTCATGTTACAGGATTGGCCATAGATGCCCGTAAGGGTAGGAATGGTCCCACCGCGGTGGCGTGAACGCGCATTGCACTTTTTCGTGCGTTCACAAAACTGCACAAATGTACTGCTTGGGGCTCCAGCCACAGTGCAGAGGTCGGGAGCGCAGGGCACGGGCCCAAGAGCAACTGGCGAGCGACTTGGTGACTGGGTGGGTTGAGTGGATGGCTTACGTGAGTTGGTTGAGTGAGTGGGTTGAGTAGATAGGTTAAGTGGGTGGGTTGAGTGAGTGAGTTAAGTGGGTGGGTCAAGTAGATGGATTAGTGGGTAGGTTGAGTAGATGGGTTAAGTGGATGAGTTGAGTAGATGGGTTAAGTGGGTGGGTTGAGTTGGTAGGTTAAGTTGGTGGGTTAAGTGGGTGGGATAGAGTAGGTGAGTTAAGTGGGTGTGTTGAGTGGATGGGATGAGTTAAGTGTGTGTGTTGGGTGGATGGGTTGAGTAGATGGGTGAAGTGGGTGGGTTGAGTTGGTAGGTTACGTTGGTGGGTTAAGTGGGTGGGATAGAGTAGATGAGTTAAGTGTGTGTGTTGAGTGGATGGGATGAGTTAAGTGTGTGTGTTGGGTGGATGGGTTCAGTAGATGGGTTAAGTGGGTGGGAGGGTGATCCGCCTCGTGGATGGGAATAAAACAGAGCGATATGTGGGTGGGTGGTTGCATTGGTGTTGACGATTTGGGTTTGGTGATTGATTGATGAGTATTTCCGTGAGCGTCAACTGCCAAAGTCATTAGTCTCGTGAAGTCATTAGTTTTGTAGTGTGTGTGTGTCTATCGCGAGAGGTTGGGGTGATCTTTACCCTTTGAAAGCGAGATTCGGCGCCGGCCTACCGTCGGCTAGCGGAGTTTTCCCCAACCTGGTATCTCCCACCTGTGGGGCACCGCCCCAGCCGAGACAAGCTCTGCGCTCCCGACCGGTCTTACGGCCTTTGTGCTAGTGTAGTGCATGCTAGTGTAAGGAGCATAAGACGCGGAAGGGAAGGAAAGATCGCGCACACCATCCATGGTCCGTTTCTTGGAGTACTGCTCCGGCATTCGCCTGGTGTTGATCTTAACCATCACAGCCGGGAAGAGCTCTAAGCTCCCCACCGGTCTCCCGCCATGTGTGGAGTGTAGTGCATGCTAGTGTAAGGGGTGAGGATAGGACAAGGAAGAGGAAGGAAAGATCGCGCGCTGTCCGTGGCCCGTTTGTGAGGGTACTGTTCCGGCATTCGCCTGAGGTTGATGGGAGATACAACGGAAAACTACCAACCAGAGCAGTCAGCCGCTAGAATTCTCCTCCAGACAGCGGCTGAATTCTAGCTGAAATGCGAGGGGCGAAAAATCTGCCACCGTCTGGAGTAAAACCCTAGAACCTTCCGGTTAGAGACACTGCAGTGACATCAATTAATGGCCTGAACTACCTTAGCCAGTGTAGTGGGTAGGGTGGTTGGGGATGCGCGAGAGCAAAGAAAGAATACGTCTGAGAGTCGAGGTCGAGTGGTTGGCAGCATGAGTACCGTATGTGGTCTGTGTGGTGACATTTATCATTCAGTATTCGACAGAGCTGAGAAGCTAGTGTCCAAAATCCTACCCTCGTCGGGACTCTAACCTAGGACTTCCCGGTCAGAGGCACTGCATGGCAGTGAGATCATTTGAACCATCTCTCCCAATCTGTGGAAATGGATGAGGTTGAGGAAAGTTCTTTATGATTGTGTTGGTCTTCGCTATGCGCACATTTATTTGAGCTCCCCATTTGCTTGTAATGGTTCCTACCGGAGGTAAGGGCGAGTTACTATTTTGTTAACAACGCAGAAAATCATTCTTGCAATTCGTTTACAGATGCAAATAAGTGTTCTATAACTTGGGAACGAAAATGTTTGTTACTACTACCACTACCATTATCACTACCACTACCACAACCACCACTACCACTCCCACAACCACTACTACAACTACCATTATCACTACTACTACTACTACTACTACTATTATATTATTATTATTATTATTATTATTATTATTATTATTATTATTATTATTATTATATCATCATTATAAATATTAGCAGTAAATGAAAATAACTAAATTTTACTTTTAGGGCTATTTTAAACATGAAAGATTACAAATCTTGAAATGTAAATTATTATTCCGCTAAAAATAATTATCTATGATAGTTATCTTAATCTATCTGTAGCAAGTATTGTAGAACAATTCCTAGGCCAATGACCCCATCTCGAGCGGTCCTGTGATCTCAAACTGAGATGCCCCCTTGTTTTGTTCTGGATCATAATGTAACGTCACTTTCTGCACCCAAGATATTATATTGACTCGTCATACACGATTGTAATTGCATATGTGCTTCAATAAAATATTATTGTTTTAATATATTATTACTATTTTAATATATTATTATTATTATTATTATTATTATTATTACATGTCCTAGAAGTTAGTAAAATTTATTTTGAGACATCCTGTCGTTCTCCAAACATGGACCTCTGTTCAGCCTGACGAATCCTGGCCACGGGCCGGTGCGTCAGTTCCCATCCCAGACACAGTGCTGCCAGCAGAAGACCCGCCAGCAGTAGCTCCAGGTGCGGGAGCAGGTCTGCCAACTGCAGCACGCGGGCGCGCGTCGTGACCTCGTCGGTGGTCGAGGCGACCGGTCCCTCCTCCACGGCGTCGTCCATTCGCAAGTAGGCATTGGACACGTGGATGAACATAGCCTCAGCGTGCTGGTACAGGCCCGCTTCTTTCATTAGCGACACGATTTCCTCGACGCGGTGCTTCCATGGCCAGTTTCTGCGGGCAGGGAGCAAGAAAGAATTTGGTTAGTGTCAACAGCAAACGTCTCGTAAGCGCAATTAGAACGACCTGACTCAGCAAAAGCTCTCGGCTGCTATCCCGACGAGTGTGGACTACAAGTCCTTATTATATCAAGGATTTCCCAACTTTTCTCCTACGTCGACTTTTTAAAATTTTTTTTTCTTAACTCACTTCTTTCAACTTTTTCCATCATTTAACAACATAATTAAAATACAAGAAATCGCTCGTAAATGAATTAAGACAAACAATGAATGAAACATACAAACAAGTTTTCAAAACATGATTCATAAAATTTGTTAATTTTTGAACAATTATTATTTTCGACTTTGACAAATTTAAACAAGCTTTTAGAAACTATCACAAATTCATTATCACAAAAGTTAAAAAATATGAATAAGAAAGTAGAGAGATTCTAAAAGAGGAGCGAATTTGTAATTTGTTATTAGAAATTTTGAAGCTCTACATATATGAAAATAATTATTAACTTGTTTATTACTGTTTTGTAATAAATACGCTCTTATATAGGTTAAAAATATCACATGTCAGTGAGTTTTCCTCCATTGATTCTCTCTCGAAAACTTGATCATCATTAGCTTCTCAATGTCCATTGTTTTTTGCAAAGCACATTCGCGTCATCAGCAAACAGAATTGTTCTTCTATTTTTCATAATCAAATATCGTTTACGTATAATAAAAAGAGAATAGGACCTAAGATAAAACCTTGAGGAACCCCATGTTCAATTGGTAGAGAATTAGAAATATAAGTAAATAATGACCTTTCAAGCTAGAATGGTATTTCTAATATTTGAGATTGATGCTTAAGGTACGAGGTTATCCAGACTAGGACAATACCACGAATTCCATATGAAGGTAATTTTAAGAACAGGATGTTATGGTCAAAACTTCAATAGCTCTTGAAAGATCTAAATATTCCAATGGATGCGCCATTTTGGTTCATTGGTGAAGTACATATTTGCGAGAGAAAAAAGTCAGTTTCCGTACATTTTGATTTTTTTAAATTGTGTCGTGAGTCTCATAAGGCTTTGTTTTTCTAAGTAAAGTTTCCATTTGGGTATTGAAAGTCCTCTCTAACAATGGAGAAAACTGACAGGAAAAAAAATTGACCGGTATATTTAATTACGTTTTTGCTCCCTTTTTTACAATGTAAATTAATGTTTGCCGTTTTGAAAATATCTGGACATATTCCTGTGCCTAAAGAAGCATTGAAAATGTGAGTTAAGGGATGTATAAAGACAGGAGCAAAAGTTTTTATAAACAAACAGGAAGTAGTTGTATAAATAATCCGGAAGTAGATGTAATGGTAGTGGTAGTGGTGGTAGTGGTGGTGGTACTGGCGGTGGTGGTAGTGGTGGTGGTGGTGGTGGTGGTAGTGGTGGTAGTCGTGGTGGTAGTTCTAGCAGAGGTAGAAGTGTACGTACTAGTAGCAGTAGCAGAGGTAGAAGTAGCAGTAGTAGAAGCAGCAGTGGCAGTGGCAGTGGCAGTGGCAGTGGAGAAAATGAAATACACAAATTAAAACTTACTCCGTAATGCCTAGACATTTTCCACTGGCGCTGAGAGGTTCTTTGAGAACGTGCACTTTCCTTCTGAATAAGATTTCATCTGACGGAGTCACCCAGAAGTCGGAACGTACAAGAAATGCCATGTCCGAATCTTCCGTCACCATCTTTTGGAATTCATCAATCGTTACGAGAAGGACGTCTTGCAGGGGAAATCTTCGACATGTGGGCGACCGAGCGCAGAGTTCACGAACCCGCTCTTGAAATTCGCATCTCCAGGTGTATTTGAAGGTGACCACGGGCAGCTCGGAGGCTGCCAGTTGGTCCATGGAGTCGATTTCCGGGTACCTTTGCGGGTTGGTCATCAGCGAATACAGGCGGCCCTGCGCAAATAGAGAGACGCGAGTTTGATCGATTTCCGGGTACCTTTGCGGGTTGGTCATCAGCGAACACAGGCGGCCCTGCGCAAATAGAGAGACGCGAGTTTGATCGATTTCCGGGTACCCTTGCGGGTTGGTCATCAGCGAATACAAGCAGCCCTGCGCAAATAAAGAGACGCGAGTTTGACTGATTAGTAATTCGGCGTCAATTGATAGTCTACAGTCACGTAAGTGTGGTGGATGTTTTCATCGCGAGTGGGGGGGGGGGCGGTCATCTGCCCCTGTTGGATGGCGAGATCCGGCACCAACCTCCCCGTCGACATGCGGGCTTTTCCCCGCCTGGTATCTCCCTCCATCGCCGCCCGAGACTGGAAAATCCCTAATTCCTCCACTGGTCACTCGGCAAATGTAAACGAGTAGTCAGTAGTGGATGTGTGTGTGTGTAGGTAAGGGGAGAGGATAAGACAAAGAAGAGGAAAGGAAGATCGCTCGCGGGCCACGGACCGTGCGCGATCTTTCTTTCATCTTCTTTGTCTTATCCTCACCCCTAACCCGTGACCCGTTTGTTAGAGTATTGCTCCAGCATTCGCCTGATGTTCATCGCAGAAACCACGGAAAACTACCGATCAGAGCAGCCGGCTGCTACAATTGTCCCCCAGACAGCGACTGGATTCGGCCAAGCTATGCAGCTAGAGTCGAAAATGCTGCCATCATCATCGGGACTCCCAGATAGAAGCATTGCAGTTAACAATTGATGCTCTGAGCAACCCCAGCAGTTGACGCGCCCACAAACACTCAACAACTAATCAATAAACAAACAAGCCGACCGGGATAGATAACTTACAACTTCAACTGACGTCACTGCAGTGCCTCTGACCGGGAGGTCCTAGGGTTACACTCCCCACGGTGGCAGCATTCTCCACACTACCAACACAGCTAGGTTACGAGCGAAGTTACTGGGAGAGGTGGCTCAGGGCATCAACTGATGTCATTGCAGTGCCTCTGACCGGGAGGTCCTGGGGTTACACTCCCCACGGTGGCAGCATTTTGCGCACTACCTACACAGATAGGTTACGAGCGAAGTTACTGGGAGAGGTGGCTCAGGGCATCAACTGATGGCACTGCAGTGCCTCTGACCGGGAGGTCCTAGGGTCGGATCACGAAGGTAGCAGAATTTAAGACATTTTCTTGTCAGCTAGGTCGAATTCAGTCGTCTGGATAGGAATTATAGTATTATAGTAGCCGGCTGTTCTTAGTCGATCGGTGGTTGTCTGTTTTCTGGATCAACACCAGGCGAATGTCGAATCAGCACCCTAACAAACGGCCCGCGCGCGATCTTTCCTTTCCATTCCTTACAGCCACCTCGCCAGCGGAGAGGTGACGCGGTACCTGGTAGGAGGCGGCGATGACGACGGACGAGGCGAGCAGCGCGCCGGCCAGCTGCAGGCGCTGCGCGGAGGCGCGCACGCGTGCCTGCGCCACGCCGCCGCACGACGACAGCGCCGCCAGCGCCGCGGCCGCGCACTGCAGCGGCGACGCGCGTCCGCCGCTCGCCACGCGCCACGCCGCGGCGTACGAGAGCGCTGTGGCCGCCAGCGCCGCCCAGATGGACGCGCCGAACACGCGCAGCGGCAGCGACCACCCCGGCAGAGGGCGCGCCGGCCGCACCACCACCCGCAACACACACACATCATCAACACTGTGCCCAGCGTGCAAGCGGCTCGGACACTTGCATTCGCTCTAGCCAGACATGGCGCCACCAACGTCACACATGGAAGGAATTAAAATTACTTATTTTCATAGTCAATCCTTTTGATTGGAAGGCAAATATACTAAATACGTTATCTACCCCATGAGCGGAACACACACATCATCAACACAGTGCCCAGCGTGCAAGCGGCTCGGACACTTGCATTCGCTCTAGCCACACATGGCGCCACCAACGTCACACATGGAAGGAATTAAAATTACGTATTTTGATATTCAATCCTTTTGATTGGAAGGCAAATATACTAAATACGTTATCTACCCCATCAGCGGAACACACAGATCAATCTCACTACAGTGCCCGCAGCGTGTAAGAGTCTCTGACAGATCTATTCGCTGTAGCCACACATTACCACGTCATGACGCCTCCAACGTCATACATGGAAGGAATTGAAATTACTTATTTTGATAATCAATTCTTTTGATTGTAAGTCAAATATACTAAATAACTCTACCCATCAATAAATTGAAATGTATAAGAATAATCATAAAATATCTTCGAAATGTGAATATCATGCTGCTGTTTCAAATCCGAAAATGATGATTGGATGAGAAATGAAATATTGTTTGTCGTGTTAAGCACACTGAAAGGAATCTTATACCAACATATCAAAGAGTGTAGGCTAATGGTGAGTCATTTAAAACACGATACGAGTCAACAGAATAACAAATATACATTGTGCACGGAGTTTTAGATTTTGTGGCCCTCCATGATGATAGTGCAGCCTGGAATTGTGAACTGGCTTTTCTTGAAAATATAGGAAATATCATAAAACAACATTCGTTATGAATATAAGATATAACCTATCCCAAAGATATGATTTGAACTTCTTTTTCGCGAATTTCTACTTCCCACCATATCCCGTTAATTTTTGCCAGCGTTGTGGAGTTGGTAAGGAATAATTGTAAATACCTCACAATCGGTTTATCGGAGTTGGAAAAATTCAACTTTTCCTATTTTTAGGCAGCCATTTTGCCGCTTGTGACCATACTGACTCCCACAGGCGTGCACTATTTATGAAGGTATAAGGTTGTACCTTAGGCCTGAGGTAAGAAAATATGACTTCAAGGTCCGTCACGTGGCTGTTAGTGATAACGCCGCTACCTTACGTGTGGCGCTAAAACTCCCTAATAAGTGAGATCATTCACAATACCTTGACCTAACCGCAGACGTAAAGCCGTAAACGGGAGTTCACAAGCGACAAGGTTTTACGTTTATGTCGGATTTCTACCGAGGACGAATCAGAGAGCAGAATGAAAGAAACACACATGAATTGTGTTTAGGTAGATTGTGGTTATGTCAGTTCATTTCCGTTATGTACTGAACTAGTGGACGAAATGTTTTTATGCAAGTAGTGAATTCAAAGTAAAATTTTGGGCCATTTTTCATGAGACTTTAACTTAACGTGGTAAATAAAATAATTATGTCCCACGAAAAACTCGTGAATTTGGCACAAGAGAATCATTGTTTATGAAGAAAAGGAAATGCGAGCGCTATTACAACAGGTACTCGCCATTATATACAAAGATAAATCGATAGGAAAATCGAAGAGAGAGCCAGAAACCATAGTTAAAAGACCTTATTATCATGACAAAAACGAATCGACAATCGATCAAGATTCAATACCCTGAAATGAGATTGTCTCAGGCGAAACTCCAGCTTACGTTCGTCATTGTGAATGCTTGTTTTTACGTGTAAAGTTTACTGCTAAGCATTACGTCACGTTTAAGTTTCTATTGTGAATATTAACAGATCGCTGCGCTCAGTCTCCGAATGTGCAGTGAAGGTGTAATAGCTTTTTAGCCACGTGAAAGAACTGTCTTCAGAGGATCTTAAGGCCACCGTAGAGCAACTCAACAGATGTTATTCAGATGAGTCGAACAATACACTTATCGATGAACTGTCAGTTTGTAACATTTGCCACATAATCACAGACGAGGAGCAAAAATATAACAACACAGACCTTTTCATGTACAAACTTATCATGGAAAAGGTTGTGCAGGACACTTTTCCAAACATTCAATTAGCTCCAAGTATCTAATTTAGATGGCAACAAACTGCAGTGCCGAGCGCTTCTTCTCAAAACTCAAATTAATTGACAACAGATTAACGACATCCATGAAGCAGGAACGACTTTTAAATTTGACTATCAAGAGCAAAGTCAGATACACTGCGTTAATTGGACATCATCATCGATCTTACAGCACGAAAATCAATGAAAGTGCCAAGACTGTAAAGATTGTAATATGATTATAGTGATTTTTAATATATTTACAAACTTGTGTTCGTTTCATATTTGCAAACACAATAAAAATTCAAATTTGGTACATTTTCATTACAAACAAATGTTTGAGATTCTTGCACTTGTCTTTCTTACACAGACCAATAATTGTTCCCTTAGAATTACGTATGTATTGTTATCCAGCCATAAACCCACCTTTTCCTTAAATTATCCAACTACCCGTAACTGTTCTATATATTTCTCTATAAATCTACATATCGAGAGGAGAGAGAGAGGAGAGAGAGAGGAGAGAGGAGGGAGAGAGAGAGGAGAGAGGAGGGAGAGAGAGAGGAGAGAGCTGAGAGCTGAGAGGAGAGAGGAGAGAGGAGAGAGGAGAGAGGGGAGAGGGGAGAGGGGAGAGGAGAGAGGAGAGAGGAGAGAGAGAGAGAGACAGAGAGAGAGAGACAGAGAGAGAGAGAGAGAGAGAGAGAGAGAGAGATTTGAAGTTAGGTTTAGGTATTGAAGGTATCTGCTTATGTATTCCTCTATTTGTCTACCAATCTATCTTTATAGTTACCAGCAGATGGATGTTGACCCATGTCGCCTGCACGCACTGGAAGCCATCCAGCGACCAGTCGTCGTGCGTGGAAAACTGGGCAGCGATGGGCGAAATCCCGTAGCTCACGTAGTTAGACAGGAGTTTGCTGAGCAGTTCATCGTGTTGCGATTCCGGAAGATTGCTTCTCTGAAAGATTCTTTGGCCTTCTGGTTTTCAGTAGTAATTGTGACATCGACAACAAAACATGATGTCGATGTTGCCAAACATCGATGTCAGTGGTACAAGGACCAATTCCCATCAATGTTTCTTGCGAAACAAAATTTAACTTGATTGTGTTTACCAACATATAATTAAGATTGAAGTGAAAAAAAATGTTTTTTAAAAACCCCTCTCCATATTATGTGCTAAATAGTACGAAAACTATCAATACAAGGGCGTTGGATTTCATATTTTAAGTTTTACAAAATAGTGTTTATTGGGATTTTTAGTTCAAAAAACAAGGGGTCCAAAACATAGATGTTAAAAATACATCGGATTTAATAAATCGATGTTTAAAACATGGATGTTTCTATAAAACATCGATGTTTTGAAAACATCGACATTGATGTTGCAATCCAAGTTTGTATGGGCCATTAGATGGTTGGGGGCATTTGATTGGTAAGATATTGTCGCACTGCATTGTACACAAATTCATTGAATCGTTTATCAGAACACCAGTGTAATGCCAAGAGTGCCAATTTCGGGAAAACGCAAAATAAAATTTCAAAAGCCAAAGTAAAAAAGACGCTAGTCAAAATTATAGCCTGTATTCGTGGGGTATTAATCAAGTATTTTCCAACACACCCACTCTCTGCCCTTTGGTAGTACAGGCGGTCACTTTCTGCCCCGTTGCCACTGTTCTGTACTTTTTCCAAGCTGAGGAGGCGAATTGAAGACGAAACAGAAACTGGTAAAGATAACACTGGCGAACAGACACAGGACTTCGTATGTTTGCTTTTGCATAGACTAATCCTGAGAAAATGCTCTTGGCCGGAAACAACTGCCCCAAATGACGTAAACTGCCTAGTAGCAGATTAACATTTTTGGTTCGGGTTCCAAGTTTTGCTACAAGTAACAGGCAACGGCGGTTCGCAAATGTTTATAGATTTCCGATTTTACTTGCGTGTCATCCGCGGCAGGAAGTAAATAGCTAAGAGGAAGTTGTGTACATTAGCATGTACTCGTCTTCTGATGACAGGTTTTTCCCTCTTCAGAGGTTTTTACCTCAGCTGTACCTCATAGCCTCTTTTCCGCCCCTTTTTTTGCGATGGAGAGACCATTTGGGGTCAATACCAGAATTCGAAAAGTTTGAACACGGTAGGTTGTAGGTATTGTAATGGCTTAAAAAAGCCTTCGTTCTAGTCATATCAAGTAATAAATTATCAAGCCGTATCAATTAATAATTTATTTGCAAAATAATTACCTACTAAATAATAATAATATTGATAATATTTTTAAGAAGAAAAAAATACGTGTTACCACATTGATTTCGCATTTTATGTATCAGTAAATTTGGCGCCTAATCTGTAATAAACGCTTTCCTTGGCACAACATAGGGCTAAACGCGTACATTTTCAAGAAAAGACCTTGGAGACAGTATTTCCCCTCACACACACACACACACACACACACACACACACACACACACACACACACAAATCCGCAAACCTAATTGTAGAGAGTAAAAAACATGTCAAGCAATATTTTATATTTAAAACACAGTACTTTGAAGCGTGGCCACCAGGGCATGACCACGAGCCACCAATGGCATTAGTTCATTATTGACAATCTTTGACGGCCACGTAATTTATGCTCGTAGAACAAATACATCTATACAAGTGCACATGCGCACAAAGCGAGGTGGCCCATCTGGCGTGAATCAAGAGTAGATTTGGTAAAACAACGTGGAAATATGCCAAGAAAAGGAACCAAAATCATTGCATGCTGTTAAAATACGCCAGTCTGCATGATACGTTTTACTCGATTTTGCTCTCCCGCCAAATGTTAACCGTCTATTTTGATGCTTTGACATAGAATAGCGAAAAAAGAAGGTATCACTCGGGCGACGAAACAGAGAATAAATTTAACTCAGAAGCTTCTTATAAGCTTGATTTTTTTACATAGAGTACATCTACAACATGGAACATTCGGCTTTACTTCCCCTCCGAAGGCGGACGAAGGATTGTTTCGTCCTTCGATCGGTTTAAACCTACAAACTTGGGTATAACAGCCCGATACGCTAATCATTATTTCACCAAAGCAGATAATCTATGAATTTACAAAATTCACTTTCGAGTTTTTCAATATGAACTGAACAATATGATGTACTAAATTCATCGCTTTTACTGAAACAAAAAATAAGTGTAACATCCTTCTAATAACGATTTAAATTTCTAATAGCTGGTCCAACCAAAAATGCCCGGAACGTGTGAAGAATTTCTCACTCACCAACTCATTATTCCAACGGCGAAACGTCCAAGATTCAGAAAAACGAAAAAGAAGTTTTTCTTCTAATATATCCATTATTACTTGATCGACATAATTCACTTTCCATCCATTAGAAAATATATATTGATTTAGATACACTGGTCGAAATATTTGTAGCTCGTGACCTTTCATGGTACGTGAATATAATTCTATCTCATTGGTAGCCAGTTCGAAAATATAATCCTCCTCTAGTAATAACCAATCGTCGATTTGGCGATGGTCTTTGAACAGTCCTACAGCTTTGCCAAAGGAATCTTGGAGGAAAAAAATTCCCCGAAAGGTCGTGTGGTACTCCCATAAATTGTCCATAAGCGTGATATGCGAATCGAGGAAACTTGGTCCGTTCTTGGCAATGGTAGGCAACTTCAAACTAAGAACAGAGAGCACAATCGGAGAGCTGGAGTCAAAGAGCATCCTTTTGTAGTTGAAGTTAGTGTATGGGGTGACAGTCTCCTGAAAAAAAAGCAAAATACCGCTGTTAACCCATATGCGCCGACATTTACTGAAATTTGGCGCCTGACCTAAAAAAAAACCTTTTTAATCTCTCGAAGACATAAATAAAAGCTAAGACAGTGCATTTCAATCATTGCGCGGGTAAGGTGGTCCTATTTCTTAAAAAAAAAAAAAGACAGTACGAGACTTTCCCAGCGTTGCTAACAGGGTGCAGCACTGTCCGAACACCAAAGTGCCAAGTAAGGAATAGATACAAAATGCGGATTCCCCAACGGGCTAGAAAATACTACATAGAATGGCTGAAGCGCCTCCATCGTTACAGCAAATTGAAACCATGTTTTTGGAAACATAGCAGCGCCCCCCGGAGAAACAGAGGATTCTAGTATTACGTTTGGGGCTAGTTACGGCTGGGTCGTGGGCAGGGCGCTAAGCCTGAAAGTGATGTTATTGCAATAGGAAGCAAACAAACGGATAACCAATAAGGCGGCAGACTCAAAAATGATGTATTTGTAGTTCTATGAGTGCTATTTTTCCAGTTAGTTATATGCCGAACATATTTAACGCATTGTTAATATTATTATTCTAACCACTAATATAATTTAAAAACAGATAAACGGAAAGACAACAATACAGAAAGAAGATCTGATACAAACAACATGCCACCGTCACGCACCTCTCATGTTTAATACAAAATCATTAAGTGTCCCGTGAGTCATATCTCGACTACAGTGATGTTGGTGTAATTTAATGAATTAAGAGTAATTAATGTTAAAAACGTATCAACTACTATGGTGGTGCCTAGTGAGCACATTTTTATGAAATGTCTTTTTTCTTTTCACTTTCGAACAATGCCGCGTAGATATTGTAACAGCTAAGGTGTAGAAATTCATTTTAAAATATGACACAACGAAATAACCTATTTTTATATCTAATTTGTTTTTGATTTTTGGTCCTTTTCCACTTAAAGTCATTTTGCACCTATTTAAGTCATTTTAATGCATTTTTCGGTGATTTCATCCTTTTCAATTGGTACTTACTTCAAAAATTGTTTACGAGGTACAACAACTGTTCATAACACAAAATTACTGAGCAGACTATTCGTTTTCTTCGTTCATACATTGTAATGTCAGCAGTAGTTAGTACTTTGTAATCTAAGGTTCCTGTGAAGTCTATTGGCGCCATTGTCAGATCGGCGATAAATAAAGGCAAAGATTTTGTTTCGCAGAAAAGTCCAAACCAACTGTTTTCAAGATGAGTTCATCCTAACAAACGAAAGAAGCCACGGATACAACAGTAACATTCTTAAACGCACGAGATGTTTATCTGATGTGGTTTTTATCAAATTATTTATGTCATTTTTCTTTGTTCTCAGCCATTTTTAAAGCATTTTATTGGTCATTTTTGGATAGGTTTTAGGTCAACAAAAATCCGCATTCTAGTTGTAACATGTAAGAAGAACCGGATCGGTTTGGGCGTTGATTGCTTCCGACGCTTCCAAACCACGCCAATAAAACCACTCGCCGCGCCGCAAAACGCACCGGCGCTAGTGAGCCGTCAGGATGTGTGTCGTTGACCACCAGAATGCGCAGGCGCGCCACGTCTCGCGCAGCCAGCACGTACCCGCGCTGGCGCTTCACCCAGCCGGGCGCGGGCGCGGGAGGGCGCCACAACAGCAGTGGTGACTTCGCGGCCGAGTGCAGAGGCCGGAGCCAGCGCGCACCGTCGCCCGCGTCCGCAACCACCACTGCTCGCCAGGGGCCCGCGCCGCTCAGGGCCCACGCCACCCCGGCCCGCGGAGGCGCGGGCGGCCGCGGCGGCCACGCCCCCCACTGCGGACAGACAACACTCCAGTCACAACGACAGTTTGGCAGTTACACGTTAAGCAAAGAGACGACAAACGCCGGAAATTCACAAACACACACACACACGACAATTGCGTGAAAAAATTACGGAAATAATTAAATTCGGCAAATCTTTTTAAAAAAACGGTATAAAAGTAGAACTATTTACGACAAATTGAAAGGGGCTAACTAGATTAAGAACATAATAATAGTTTCGGAACTACACGCGAATAACGGATTAAAGATATAAACGAAAATTAAAAATACCCGCCTATTACGAGGGAAATTACGGAAAAATTTTATTTCGGCGTATAGCGTTGAAAACTGGTTAATATATAGAACAAGACCGACAAATTAAATAGAGCAAACACAATTCCGGTGCAAATAGAAATTTCGGAGATACATTCGAATAACTGTTCCGGCTAAATACAAAACATCACCATACCCACCAATTACGTAACAAATTGGGAAAAAAATTAACTTCACCGTATCGTATGAGGAACTGGTATACGCGTACAACAATGTACGAGAAATTGAATGAAGAAAACAAGAATCAAGTCGTAATAATAGTAGAAGGTAAATGCGATAAACTGTTTGGCTAAATGCGACATTTCACAATACCACACAATTCGTGAGAAATTGGCGAAAAAACTTATTTTTGGGGTATCGTTATGAATGATAGTATTAACGTAAGCATGTACGGGAAACTGAATAAAGCAAAATCGAATCCGATCCTGATAAAAGTTTCAAGATACACGCAAAAACCGCCAAATAATCCGTCAAAAATCAGACGAATTCTTTCCGAGATAGACGAGAGACAAAGTAGGGCCTCGAGTCATCAAATACAAAACGACACCCCCCCTTACGTACCAATTTGCGAAAACTATAAATTTCAACACTGTTATCTCTAATTCTGTATACAAGTAAAACACATTAATTTCTTTTCATGTTTTCTTGTTATACAGAGATAGAGACAAGCGGAGCTGAAATTAAGATTTTTCAAATTTGGCACTAAGGAGGGTCGTTTTTTACTTTACACAATGGAGGTGGCTTTTGTTTTTGTCTATCTCGGAAACTGATGTCTGATGGAGTTTGCTTTTTACCAATCAATTTCTTTTAATGTGTTTTATTGTATACAGAATTTAGAATACATGCTGAAATTAATATTTTATCAAATTTGCACGTAAGGGGGCTCGTTTTGTACTTTACACAATGTAGTTGCTTTGTTTTATTCGCCTATTCCGAAACTATTTGGCTATGGAGTAGTTTTTCACCAGTAAATTTCTTTTTAATTTATTTTACTTGTATACAGATTTTAAGATAGCAGTGCTGAAATTTATATTTGTCGAAATTTGCCACGTAAGGGGTCGTTTTTACTTTTACACAAGGAGTTGCTTTTTGGTTTTTGTCTATCCTCGGAAACTTTTTCTGATTGGAGTTTGCTTTTCACCCAATCAATTTTTTTTAATGTGTTTACTTTGTATACAGTATTAGAGACACGGAGCTGAAATTAATATTTTCGGAAATTTGCACTAAGGGGGTCATTTTTACTTAGCACAATGGAGGTTGCTTTTGTTTTTCGTCTACTCGGAAACGTATGGTCTGATGGAGTTTGCTTTTCACCAATCAATTTCTTTTAATGTTTGTACTTGTATACAAATTAGAGACAGCGAACTGAAAGAGTAATATTTATTCGAAATTGGAAGTAAGGGGTCGTTTTACTTACCACAATGGAGTTGCTTTTGTTTTCTCTATCTCGAAACTATTTGTCTGATTGGAGTGCTTTTCACCAATCAATTACGTTTAAATGTGTTACTTGTATACAGAATTAAGAATACAGTGCTAAATAACATATTTTCGAAATTTGGCACGTAAGGGGGGAGTCGTCTTTTACTTTACACAATGGAGGTGCTTTTTTTTGTCTATCTCGGAAACTATTTGTCTTGATTGGAGTGCTTTCATTAATGCAATTTCTTTAATGGGTTTTACTATGTATACAAATTAGAAGACAGCTGAGCTGAAATTAATATTGTTTTTGCAAATTTGCAGTAAGAAGGGTCGTTTTGACTTTACACAATGGAGGTTGCTTTTTGTTTTTCGTCTATCTCGGAAACTATTGTCTATTGAGTTGCTTTTCACAACAATTCTTTAATTGGTTTTACTTGTTATACAGAATGAGAGACAGCGAGCTGAAATTAATATTTTTCGAAAATTTGGCACGTAAGGGGCGTTTTGTACTTTACACAATGGAGTTGCTTTTGTTTTTCGTCTATCTCGGAAACTATTATCTATTGGAGTTGCCGTTTCACCAATTCAATTTCTTTTAATGTGTTTTATTTGTATACAGAATTAGAATAGCAGTGCTGAAATTTAATATTTTTCGAAAATTTTGGCATGAAGGGCGGTCGTGTTCGTACTTTACACAATAGAGTGCTTTTGTTGTTCGTCTATCTCGGAAGACTGTATGTCTGAGTGGAGTATTCTTTTCACCAATCAATTCTTTGAATGGTTTACTTGTATACAAATTAGAGACAGCGAGCTTGAAATTAATATTTTTCGAAATTTGGACTAAGGGGGTCGCTAAGTTTTTACTTTACACAATGGAGGTTGCTTGTTCGTCTATCTCAGAAACTTGTTTGTCTTGATTGGAGTTCTTTTCACCAATCAATTTACTTTTAAATTGTTTTACTTGTATACCAGAATTAAGAGACAGCGAGCTGAAATTAATATTTTCGAAAATTGCACGTAAGGTCGTTTTGTCTGACACAATGTGTGCTTTTGTTTTTCGTCTATCTCGGAAACTATTTGCGATTGGAGGTTGCTTTCACCAATCAATTTCTTTTTAATGTGTTTACTTTATACAGAATTAGAGATAGCATGCTAAATTAATTAATATTTTTTCGAAATTTGCACTAAGGGGTCGTTTTGTACTTTACCACAATGGAGTTGCTTTGTTTTTCGTCTATCACGAAAACTATGTTGTCTGATTGAGATTGTTTTCACTAATCAGTTTCTTTTAATGTTTTTACTATGTATACAGATAATAGAGATAGCAGTTGCTGAAATTAATATTTTTCGAAATTTGCACGTAAGGGGGGTCGTTTTGTACTTTACACAAATGGAGTTGCTTTTGTTTTTCGTCTATCCTCGGAAAAACTATTTCGTGATTGGAGATTGCTTTTGTTACCAATAATTTCTTTTAATGTGTTTTACTTGTATACAGAAATAAAGAGAGCGGAGCTTGAAATTAATATTTTTTCGAAAATTTGGCACTAAGGGGGTCGTTTTGTTAACTTTACACAATGGAGTTGCTTTTGTTTTTCGTCTAATCTCGAAACTGTATGTCTGATGAGTTTTGCTTTTCACCAATCAATTTCTTTTCAATGGTTTTACTTGTATACAGAATAGAGATAGCATGCTGAAATGAATATTTTCAAATTGCATAAGGGTCTTTTTACTTTACACAATGTGTTGCCTTTTGTTTTTCGTCTATCTCGAAACTATTTGTCTGATTGGATTGGTTTTCACCAATCAATTTCTTTTTAATGTGTTTACTTTATACAGAATTAGAATAGCAGTGCAGAATTAATAATTTTCAAATTGCACTAAGGGGGGTCGTTTTGTACTTACACAATGGAGGTTGCTTTTAGTTTTTCGTTCATCTCGGAAACCTATTTGTCTGATTGGAGTTTGCTCCACTAATCAATTTCTTTTAATGTGTTTTACTTGTTTACAATATAGAGATAGCCAGTGCTGAAATTCATATTTTTTCGAAATTGCACGTAGAGGGTCTTTTGACTTTACACAATGGGTGCTTTTGTTGTTTCGTCTATCTTCGGAAACTATATGTCTGATTGGAGTTTGCTTTTCACAATCAATTCTTTAATGTGTTTTACTTTATACAAGAATTAGAGACAGCGGACTGAAATAATATTTTCGAAATTGGCAGCGGAAAGGGGGGTCGTTTTACTTTACACAATGGAGGTGCTTTTGTTTTTCGTCTATCTCGGAAACTATTTGTCTGATTGGAGTTGCTTTTCACAATAATTCTTTT